CATCACTGTAACTCTCTCCCCTGCTACCAAAAGCCCTGCCACACAAACCCAGCACATGGGGAAAAACCTGCTCTGTTTTCTGTGTATGTTAGTTTTTGCTTTCTATGTGTGACCTCCTGCAGTCAATAAACAACTCTGCTAAGCCTTATCAGGCTGAGGAAGGACCTAACCTGTTATTTATATCTAATATTTTAATAATGTGCCATGTGTTTCCTAGCTGAGAACTGCTTAGAAGGGGGATGAAGGGAGCTGAATTTTTTTTCAATATTTAAATATAGATAGCAAAACCTGAAATATTTATGGTTTGGCTTTAGATAAGGAGAGAATAATTTTCTTCACTCTCATTCCTTTCCTTACAGGGTATAAAAGTGGTAACCAGAAGTGATTCAGATAAGAGGAATTTTCTCATCTAATTTGTATAGGCCATTTTTTGATCCAGCTTGGAACTAGTCCTATGTTCATTGCATGTGGTTTTTTTCTAGTTCAACCTATGGAGATGGAGTTTTAATCTCAAGAATACAGAGATCATGACATGAATTTCTTCTGGATCATGGAATTCTCCTGTTAAAAAAAAAAAAAAAAAGGGACCAGACCAGTTATTTTTATAATGATTTAGATGTTCTCATATATCTTGTGATTTCAGAGGGATTTTAGTGTGTGATTCCTTCTAACTCCATGTCTTTGTGTAGTCATGAAATCTAAAACATGTTCTCTAAAACAGAGACCCAGGAGATTGTCATGAAGTTGCTGGTAAAAGAGAGGTAAGGCAGGGGGCAGGGGAGGAGTAAAGTATCATAGGACTTGTAAGGACATACAGAAACTACCAACACTGCAGAGCTCCTCATCTGTTTTTCATTGTGATTCTTCCTGACACAACCTAAACCAGTTAGACCTTTTCTATTCTAATACTATTCATGGAAAAAAGAGGATATAACCTCATTTGCTCCTTATAGGGGATCTTTTTTTCAAAGATTGTACATCAAGGTTTCAATTGTATTTTCTTTTTCTTGGGAATTTTGGCTTTTGAAAGGGAAAGTGTTGCTTAGGACAAGCTCCATTAGCATCAGAGACTTCCTGCTCTCAGAACTGGCCTCTGTTGTATAGGTAATATCACCTTTAAAATGCAAGTCTTATACCAAAAGCCTTATACCAAAGCCTTAGGGGCTAGCCTGGTTTTGTGCAGAGAGGAGTATGAAATTTCATTTTGTACCACCTAGAAAGGACATTCTTATACTATAGCTAAGTTCAGTGGAATGTAGCAACAACCACAATAGTTCACCTGGGGAGCAACTTTAACATATCCCAGGTGACAAAGAACAGTTCTCCTTCTCCTTTCCAGAGTTCAGCAATGATGCTCTCTTGCAAATGTGCAAGAGAGTCGGGGAATTTGCCAGACACTGGTCCATCATAAACTCACCTTTCCTCTAAAGTAAAACACCTTAAAACCACTGATATTTCTTCTGTTAATGCTTTTCTCTTTCCTACCCTGAGGTCCTGAAGTGAAGACTTCAATTTTTCCAATTGCAGTCAGTTTGATACGAAATTATGGTTCTAACTTATCCCAGAATTTTTTGTGTAAGCATCAGCGTTTGTTAGGTCCTAGCTGCAGCATTACTTCTGCTCCAGAAAAAACATATTTAGCATTTATTCTTAGTAAATGTTAGTATGTGCTGTTTATCCTTTCTACTGTGATGCTTTAGTTGTTTGGTGTTTCTTTATAGCTGTTAGTCAAGTGCCATGTCACCCTGATTTGGAGTTCTGTCCTCTTCAGCAAGAGTTTGCCATTAAACCTACTTTCATGTAGAAGAACAGGACTTTAAACTTAACTTGAGTTCAAGTTTCAAGGCATTGTTACAAAAAAAACCCAGATTTAATGAGGACCCTTGGTTTTCTGTAGTAAGGAGCAAATACCATGGGCCTAACATTCAGAGAAAAAATATCTTGAACTTGTTGCTGAAAGTGGGGGAGAAAAACTACAACAGCTGTTGCCATCATATCCTGGAGAACTTAATTCAACAGGCAGGGTTTTCATAGGATACTTGTGAAAATATTGCAGAAAAAGGAAGACAGAGAAGAGAACAATACTGACAATCTTATTTTAATGTGTGTGAGAGAAGAACAGGTGATATGTACCAGCCTGACTCTTTGCTGTGGGTGATACAGCTGGTCATATGGCAAAAACTGCAACGGGTCTGTGTTTTTTCTTTTAAGAGGAAAAGGAGAAGAGAGAGGGAGGCAGAAGAAGAAAGGAAGAAGGAAAAATTATCGCAGTTATGCAGCTTGGCAAACAGTTCTTAATTTCTCAGGAAGGACAAAGAGGTTGCAATGTATCCCTTCATCACCTTAGTCTTGGTTGTTGAGGCAGATGTGAGAGCAGAACAATATGTCACTTGATTTATTTATTTTTTAGTCATTATTATTCCATCTGAAGGAGTAAAACACTGATTAAAGAGGAATCATTCTGGGTTTACTGCAAACATCAACAGTATATAATTTCCCTGGAAAGCAAAAAAACCCACTTTTTCATACTTATCACTAAAACTGCATCAGTATCTGGAATGATGATTTAAATGCAAGTGCTATTGTTGCAGTAGGGCTGCAAATCATGATATAGTCTATAGTTGCAAACCTGTGTGAAGACTGGTGGAGAACATTTAAGCAGGGAAAGGATTTTAAATATTTTTCTTCCAAAAACTTGACCAATCACTAGGTGTTGTTTGCTCTTGGGTGTGTGCAAATATTATGTACACATAAACTTTGTATCTACAAAGCATTAATTTTCTGTTTTTCCAGATAGAATATTATTAGCTTCTATTTATCCTAGCTAGTCAGTGGTATCCTAGTTAGTCACTGACTAGCAGAGTATTCTCATAAACATCAGTGAGCAAAACATACTTGTTTTATAGACATAAACAACAGCATGTAATCATCCAAGCTAAAACCTGCCTTTAAATAAATGTGTGTCATGTTACACTTCTGAAATAATTTCTGAGCAGGAAAAATCCATTAGTGATAAAATTACTGTAGGGACTCTGTTTTGGCTAATGTTGGAAATGTTATTTTCACCTTTATGCTAGTACTGTAGTAATGTCTATAGGATTCTTATCTTTTGATAAATCTACAACTGCCTGTTTAGTCTGAGCAAAGCATTTAGCTGATTGTGTATATTCAAAGAGGACCACAGAAAGGACATAATTTCCTGAATATTCCCAGGGTGCAAATATTGTGCCCTAAATAACACACCAGTTACTGTAAATGTCAGTAGAGGGAGGTTTTTTTTTTACTTTGATTTAGTAAGACCCTATAGCAAAACCATCTGTTAACACTTCTTAACTGCTTCTCTTTGTGAAAGGGGAGAGCATCATTTCTACCACACTTTTGACTTTCGATTAAAAGAGGGAAACAATCTTTCAATCTTTCTCAACAAGCACAGAACTACAGTGTTAGCTGTATTGGACTCTTTACTTAGCTCCTTTTTTTGTATTTGTACTGAATTTCCTAGTTCTTCTTGGTAAGTTCTTCTACCAAAAAAAAAAAAAAAAAAAAGATACCTGCCTTGGAAATACATCATCAAAGGCTAAGGGAATTTATTTCAAGTTAATTGAGGAGCCCTTCAAGTGTGAGCTTAGCGTGAAGACATGGTGTGCATTTGTATGCTTGTGTACAAATCGTTTTAGTTATTTGTCACAAACAAGGGCAGAATTAATAAAAATGGATGAAACAGTGATAAACATAAAAAAAATAACATCTTGCCAGCCTAGTCATCTTTTGTAAATCAAGACAGCTTCCAATAGTTGCCCTTCGTTGCAAAAGGCAATGTTCTGCCCTAATACATAGCTTTTTTGAATTGTGGGGGAGACTATGCAATGAAATAAAAATTACTTTGCAGTGCTTCAGGCAACGTTTTTTAGCTATAGCTTTTGAGGGTTTTTGCAAGGGAAAAAAAAAAAATGTATGCAAATGATCTTTCACAAGTGAAAATCTGCATGCCCAAGTCCAGTTGCTTGCTTGCCAATGTACATGTTGAACTGCAGGCCAATGTACAATTTCAAAATTGCAGACATTGATGAAAGTTACCAATGTATTCAGATTGGCATACAATACACTAGGGAATCCAGTCTATGGTGAAAGGCAGGCATATACTTCCATATGATCATGCATTTTGAGGCAAGCACAGTTCTAGAAGGAAGTTTTCACAGCAGCACTTGTTCCTGTGAAATAAGTAGGTGCTGACACTAGTCTTATGTGTATGAACTTTTGCATTAGTACTAGACATGTTGTTTCCAGTTATTCTTTTTCTCCAAATACAGTAAATACTCTTAAATAAAATACTTTAAATGGGAAATGATGAAGGAGGGCAGAAAGAAGGAATAAGATGATTTTAGTTTGTTACGTATATAACATGGGGAATCACATTTTGACTGAAGCAAGTTAAGTATTTTCTCAACACAGGCAGATGTATTGGAGCATATGGAGGTTGACTTTGCTGTGGAATTTAATAGCATGTTTTTCTACTTTTGTGGGAGTATATACATAGTTCTATTTTTGGCATTGTCACCTTCAGTGTAATTTTGTTTTTTCATCCCTTTTTAGGCTGCTGAAGCCTATGGCCTAGATTTTCAAGACTAGGTTTTCTCTAGATCTTAATTATTGAGTTGTACAGAGTAGACACCTGCATTACATCAGAAACCATATTAAGCAACCTCTTGATAAAAAGGTGTGGGAAGGTAAAAGGAGATAATGAAACACTGAAAATACCACATGCTTCACTTTTTTCATGTAAAATAATAAAAAAAGGGATTAGAATGAAATCTGAAGTTTGTTCCCTGCTTTTGCATAATCAATCTACTGTGTGCACTTGAAATCATTACATGAAGAGGCTGAAATCTGTCCAGCCCTTCAGATGAAGGGAAGATAAAGGATATATTATTCTAGCACAAGAGATGATTTGCATTTTCACTCTCTTACTCTTCCACTTGTCTTTCCTTCCCCATTTACAGCTTCTGCAATCCCAGATAATGGAAGGAGATCCTGTCTAAAGCTTAAGGTCTTTGTGCGACCAGCAAGTAAGTTCTTCAGATTAAGCTTTCAGGGGTGGCTTTGTAGCACATGCTTTACAGCATGGTCTAGTAAACAGCAGTAAATATTTTTTATACTGTTAAATCTTGTGTATCTGGTCTGTACAGCAACATTTCTGTTATGATTTCCATTGTATTTCTTTATCATTTTTCATAAAGCTTTGTTTTAATTCCATGGCAGTTGCTAACTTGTTGCTTCTTAAACTGTTGTACAAATGGAAAACTATACTGGCATTTGGACAAGTGCCACTTTATAAATATGCTTAATTATATCTAGTGAATAGAAAGAAAAAAGAAAGAAAGTGGGGAGTTTAAGGGTATCTCACTAACATATTTGGCTGTTATCTCTTTTTTTTGTTATAGACAGCTGTATGAAAACTATAGGTGTTCACGATCGTGTTTTCGATGTTAACGACAAAGTAGAAAATTCATTAGAACCAGCAGGTTAGTATGCTTAGAGAATCTCTTTTAACAAATGCGTGTATTCCTCTGGTGCTTCAGTACTTTTTTCCCTCTTCCCTCTGTATGCTTTGCATGGTACAACTGATCTGGTTTTTCACATTTCTAGCAGCGCTAACGTTGTTTATGGTATATTTCCTGTATCCTTGTTTAATGCAGAGGAAGAGAAATGTTGCTTTATTTGGGTTTTGGGTGATGTGGTTTAATAAAATATGATGTGTGTCAGTGTAAAATTTTCACCAGTATCCTGAAGTCACGGGCCCATCCAAGCCACACACCCAGCATGTTGGCAAAACACTATTTACTAACTGAGCCCAGAGTTTTAGAAATAAAGTCAGTGGGCATACTTCATTTATTATGTGGTTTCAGAAGACTTTCAGAAAAACAGAACCACTGATTGTTTAATGCTGGTTCATGAGATAGGAATGCAACTGACAGAGTTAGCATTTATGTAAGAAATTATTCCCTTAAAATTATATATATTTGCATGTATATTTGGTTAGGCAGAGTATCATTTTTGCATATGTGCATGCACACACTCTCTGATATATATAAATTCCTGTCCTGTTTTTACTGAAGAAACTTAAGTTCTGGGAGACTTTCCTGTCTTCTTTTGCAAAACACTGCCTCAAGAATAACGCTTGCTGTGATAAAGCCCCTCATCTGCCCAGGACAAAGTTATATTAACCTCCACCATCAATTAAGCTAATAAGTCTCTGTGTGGAAAGTGCATGTGCGTTGTTTGTATGTCTCAGGTTTATGGCAGATAGAAGCATGTTTAATTCTAGGTGTGTGAGTAAACTTCAGTGGGATGGCTCATGACATTAAAATTAGCAAATAAGTAGGAAAAGTATTTACAATGGTAGTATTACCTGTTTGGTTTATATGTACCTACACACCACTCACACATCGTTGTATTCTAGCTTCAATAATTAAAATAGACAGTTAAATAAACAAAACCAGAAAAATATTACACACATACCATATATATATATACTCTGAATAACAAATTACCAAGATCTTTTTTCTTCTTTTACTTTATTTGAAAGAGACTTCCCCTTCAGTATGAAGCAACATATTATTTTTTTGTTCTTTGTTCTTTGTTGTTTGCAGTTCCTTTAACTAAAAGTTACTCTTTATACAGAAGTATAATAAGGCTTTCACAAGTTACCCAGTTTGAATGATTTACCTATGGATACACAAGGGAATTTATTATTTTTCTTTAAGAGGATTTTTGGAACCCTCCTAAAAACTTTGATTTTGAGAGTTAAAGATATTCTCTAAGCAAATCTAAATGTAAGGAGCGTGCATTTACATTAGGTGCATTTGCACATTTATTAACAGCATTCTTCTACAGAAGGCATTAGGATGATTCCCTATCTTTAGGTAACCTGTGAATTGGAAACTCAATGCACTTTTTTACATTTTGTGATTTGGTGAATGTGGGCTAATTAATGAATTATTTCTCCTGTTTCTGGTTTGTGAAAGAGATCATCCGAGCAATAAATGCCTGATTTTAGCAACTTACTGAGCTTTTTTTTTTTTTTTTTTTTTTTTTTTTTTTTTCAGCAGTACTTCCTATTAAATGGTTATACTTAACTAACACCATCACAAAAGCACAGTTAGAAAGCACCAACTAAACTGAGGAACCAAAATCATAAAAAGAGCATCCTGCAGTATGAGATGAAATACAGTTAGTGTTACCAGGAGGAAGTAATAGTTTTAATGAGAAGGCTTTGTACCAGAAAGTTCCCACTCCGGACATCAGTGTATATTTGCATTATTATTTGGACCAGTCACCATTAGATAATCAGTCATTCCCAGATCTACCAGCTCACACTGTTATGTTATTAGGCTGTTAGACTTGCTGCTGCCTTAGTGGATCTTGGTGTATGTGATCTGTATTGTGTACTAATTTACCTGCCTCTGACATGCATCTTTTGCTTCTGTGCTCTTCCCTAGCCTGCCACTGAATTCTTTCACAGTACACAGAAGAACTGGGAGGGTCATGTTCAGCATCTTACTTACTATCATCTTTCTTTTAAAATCACCATTTGTGTGGTTTTTGAACCGTTGTAACTTCACTGTTTTTGTTCAGAAATTTGTAGGAAAGTGATCTATAGAGATCACACTTTCACACAGAAGTGATGAAATTAATTGGCCCTGTTCCTGTCCTCCCCTTCCCTTCCTCCTTCATAATGAAAATAAAAAGTCCCTAAACAAAAATTGCAGCTGTACATATCTGGAAAAAATTATATCTGAAGCATATGATGTAAAGCTGTGTAATCTGGAAAATTCATGGCTGTCAAAATATTTTTTTCTAGTTACTGCTGGCATTCCCAGTCTCCAGCAGTGATCATCCAGATTTTACTCAGGAATTTTGTCCTCTTCATCACTTGCCTTCAGTGTTTAAAAAAATCAAAATCATTTCCCCAAGCATTAAAGATTGTGCAGTATTGAAACTCTGCAGCTCCCAAGTAAAATCATATTTGTAGAGTGACTTTGAGAACCACAGTTGTATCATGTGCTCTAATACATGAGTATAGAAACTTTGGGACTGCACTGACAGAAAACACAGATGATTTCCTGAAAGGAACTCTTTAATGTTACATGAAATTTAATTCTTCTGTGAGGAATGGGTTTATAAAAATGCCATCATAGAACATCTCCATATTTTTTATTTAATTAATCGTTTTTAGTTTAGGGCTTTTAGGTTTTTTTACCAGAAGCCAGTGTTCCAGTCATGGCAGTATCTGGTAGTCAAAGAGAATGAGGATTTATTACTGCTCTACACTAATTCTGCCCTGTTGTGTTTTAGTGCTGACTCATGGATGTAATTAGGACAAAACTGTTGGCATTCAATGTTGCAAATTCAGACTTATTTGCACTTCTATTGATGATGAAAGAGGTAGAAGGTAATGTACATCATTCTCCTCTGTAGTTTTAGTTCATCAGCAGTGAGTGAATGTTTCCAAATTGGGAAGAGCTGACTCTAAATATATGAAAGGAAGTAGAGCTGACAGTTACAACAGGGATATTTTTCCCTGTTAACATCTTAAGAGTATGATTTTATTGGGAAGCTCCTCTTGCGAATTACTATATTGTCATTGTACTGTCACCAATGTGCAAGAGTGTAACTTGAAAATGAAATGTGAAACAGCTTTCATTATTAACAGCCACTGAAACTGTTACTTTTCAGTAGCCAGCATTCACTGAAATTTTTAGATTCCTTTGGAACAATTCTGGAGAAAGAATATTAGGGCCCCCTTCAGGGCTGAAGTGCTTGGGAGGGTTTCCCTGCTGTACCTGTTGGGGAGATGTAACCAAAGTCATTCCAGCCAGGGTTTGCCACCGACATCAGTGGGACTTCCATCTGATGATGGCCCTTTCTCACAAATGTGAAACTATTTATAGCTGTTCAGTGCTTGCTTTTCATACTGTTGACTTGAGCAGCACTGAAGACCTGTTGATAAGCATGACGTGATTGTAGTGTCCATTAGTGCTGGAAAAAAGAAGTGAAAAATTGCTAATCCGGTTTACTGTGCATCTTGCTGTGCAACCAAACTGAGGCTGAAGAGCCTGTTAACCTAAATTATGCTAAGTGCTCTATATGCTTTTGTGCTAGGTGTCAAGGATATGAAGGGGAGGGAGCTTGTTTCTAGCTAAAGCTAAGAAAGATGAAAGGCTCCATGCCAAAGCAGTATGGTGATCCCAGTGTCCTGAATCTTACTTCCCTTAGTGCCTGTAATTGGAATTGCACATCTCTCATACAGTGTCATCCTGTCAGTGCAGTTTGTTGAGATAGGAGCTAAGGGACTGATACATCATAGATATGTCAACATCTCTCATAAAATGGGGGAGCTTTTTTCACTAAGTAGTGAGATACTATTAATTTTCCTGGAAACTTAGGCATTCTAAAATAACTTACAAATACATTTTGAGGCCACTTCACACTTCCTAAAAAGGTATAGCTTATTTGATTTATTTAGTACTAAGAAAATTCAAACCTAGAGCTGACTTTTTGTGTCAAGTCTCAGAGAGATTACTTTTAAAGCAGCCAGATTACCCCCTTTTTTTTTTTTTTTTTTTTTTAATGTTGCAATCTGTGGCTTTAATTCTGATCTTTAGTTTACAAAAACTAAACAGTTTTATAAGGTATCACAAATTTAGTATTTGCTACTGTGTTTTCTTCTGCCACTAATATCTAAGCATGTTTTCCCAACTCAGCTGGTTCTTTTTTTTTCATTAGTTTTAGCAGCATATATATAAATCTGTATTTTGTGTACCGTAAAAGGTAATCTGTTACCTATGAAGTTTCCCAAAGTGAGTATGTATTCTATAAAATGGGAGATTGTCCTGTGTTAGCCTTTAAAATTCTGTTTCAAGAAGGGGAGACTGGTCTTATATCCCCTGTGCATCTTCAGATGTGGTATGCTTCTGTGGAAATTGTATGCATGGAAGTAGAATATATGCTTGGATTTACAGGCAGTAGTTTCAAATTTAGGAACCAAAATCTGTAACTCAGTAAATGAATTAACTGTGAAATTAATTCTGAGCATGTACAACTCTTCTTCAAGCCATTTGAAAATCAGGTGTTTTTATTTAGCTGCCTCCCTATTGGCATTGCTATCTAATGAGCCATCCAAAGCCAGAGCTATAGTGTTTTATTAGAAGAGAAATCTTTCATTCCTCAGTCTGCTGAAATCTGACTTACTTTCTGCTCCTCTGGTGTTCAGTGGGAGTTTTGCCAGTAAGAAATGCAGGACTTGGCCCCAAGTTGATTACATAATGAAGTATTGCGCGCTTGTGAAAGTCAATGACAGCACAAGGTTCATTGCCCTATTTCATAAAGGCACTGAAATCTACTTACTGTTGTCGGCTCAGTGAGAGTTTATTAAGGATGGAAAATCTCATTGGAATGTATGCTTTCTGTTTGAACAGATGATACCGTACATGAGTCAGCCGAGCCATCCCGTGGTGAGAATGCTGCACAGACACCAAGGATACCCAGCCGGCTTTTGGCAACTCTATTGTTCCTCCTGGCAATGCTTTTGATATTATAGCACAGTATGCTCCGGCAACCTGTCGCAGAAAATATCAGGGTCTTGGAACATCAGAGATCCACCTAACTGCTCATCCCAGGAAAGGGACTTTATTGTTTTTGCAGATGTCAAATTGTTATTTTTTCCTTTTCCCTTTTCTTCTCCCTTTTAGCCTGAACTCAGCAAAAATCTGAAGGGGATAACTAGCTTCAGCACCCATCCCTACCTACCCTGTGACTTTCTTAACCCCCTCCATATAAATAAAAGGACTCCAGATGAAAATGCCAAACTATAATAGTGACACTAGTGATTCTTATTTTCCTCTGCATTCTCTTTTAAGAAGTCGCCTCTGCTAGCTCACTGTGTCATCCATATGTGGACAAGGAAGAGTAGTGGCTGATGCAGTCAGTGAAGGATAAGGAAAGTGAGTGAAAGCCTGGGAGAGTTTTTCTCTCTGATACAATATTTATGCCTTCTCATTCAGCACTGTAAGATGATCATGCAAGGCATCATGTCACCATGTCAGGACCGGAGGGGAAATATTAAGACTAGATATAATATAACACCATTTCCTCCAGGAATTTCTAAATGAACAGGCTTCTGAAAGGGAAAAATTATGTTTCTTATAGGACTGTCATGAAACATGTTTGACAGTAAAATTGTGCTCATGAGTCGAAATGCTGTCTTTGGTGAGAGGAATAAGTTAGTATTTAGGAATGTTAGCACACAGCAAGCAAGGTCAGATTTAGGAAACTCCACTGGGGGTGTGAGTGCCTCTGTTATTTCGTTTTAAGGGGATAATGCACACCGGATTATTTTATTTTAAAACAAATCACCGTGGTGCTACAATTTTTTCTTGAAATGCAGAGGCACTTTTGAGAATAAAGTGACCTTCCCCAGCGCTGACTTAGTCTCTGATAGCCTTGGATGCTGCTCTGGGTGTTAATACATGCTAAGAGAGGACATCAGTGGCCAGAGGAAACATGTTTGGGATACAGGATCTGCAGTGTGCTCTTGATTTGTCTCTCCTGCAAGTTCCTCAACCATGGGAATAAATCACATGTAGAAGAAGCCAGGACAGTCTAGTAGCATTCTTTGGTGGTGGGAAAGAAGTGTGGAGTACAAATTCAAGTGTTGATTTTTTATCTTTTCCCCTTCCAGCACAGTTTGAAGTGTAGAGAAAACATGTTCATCAGCTGGAGATAAACTAGATGGGCTCCCAAAGACTTAACAAAATATTTTTTTAAAAATCCACTAGAATAGAAAATACATTATTTAGATATACTTTATGCTGAGAGTGAGTATATATGCTTGTCCTATTTAAACATGTGAGAGAAGTGGTAACCCTTGATGCAATTAGGAAATGGGACTGTCTTGTTTGGTGGAATTAGGAGTGACCCTGTTTAAGGAATCTGAGCCTTGGCTAATGTAGAACTTCAAAAAGTCATTTTCCAGGAAGTGCAAGCCTTGGGGTATTTTTGGCTAGTCTGCCATGAAATTTGGACTTCTAAGCATAATCAGGGAAATATCAGACTGGGACTGAAACAGAGGTTTTATAAAAAAACCTGTAATAATTATGTCAAATGTGAAAGAAAACATGGAGCACATTCAAGCAAAACAAGGGTTTTCTATATTAATTCTGAAGAAAAAGTCTGCCATAACAAAATTGAGTGATACCATTAATAGACAGCACTTTGTGGACTTTTTTTAATGAAGAAAAGCTTTCCAGAAGTTGAAGCAGCCCAATATTCAGAAAAGGAGGAAAGGGGAAAACAAAATTTAATAGTAAAGGAAGGTTTATGCATGCTAAACTATGATCTGGGCTTGCCTGATATCATACAACACAGTCATTAATACAGGGCTCATGCTTACAGGAGGAACATAGGAAATTTCCTCTAGTGTGAAGTGCACACAATGAAGATACACAGTCTAAACAGTGAGGGAAGTCATCATCTCACTACCAGCTATCTGGTACTTTATTTAATATGGATCTGCTTGGTGCACACACTTAATACTTACTGTAGGAACTAAAAAGCTTTGGATGAGGTGATCTTAATCAAAATGCACCTTATCAAATGGATTATTAACCAGATTACAGATAATATTGCATGATAGGTAACCATATTAAAATGATTCATTGCAATTGAAGGCAGTCATAACAGTGGTGCTAATTTAAAGTAGAAATGGTGACTTCATTTTTCATCCTTTGTTTCTGAATGATATCATAGTTGAAGACATACATTTATCTAGAGCAAAGGATTTTCATTAGTTACTCCTGGTGAAATTCACCCTTTTGTTTTATCACAGAGCCCTGCTGTGTAGATGAGGAACAGCATGAGTGATGTACCTGCAAGGCAGGTTCCTGTGCTGCCTGGCATGCTGTGGCTGGTAACGTACCAGACGCTGTCAGTTTGATACTTGATGGCATCAGGCAATCCAAGTCATACAAAGTACATAAATGCTGATGGGCTTGTGTTGTGTTGCAAATCTCTAGATGTTTTAAATGCAGATGTTGGTGCAAATTAAGATTTCTGTTCCCTTTCCCTTTATCTGTCCCAGTTGAATTCTGAGGGAGTGATTCTCCCTCAGCCTAGGTGGTTTACTTACCCCCATGACCTGCACTCCTGCCTGCCAAGGGCATTGCAATGTGAAGCAGGGAAAATAGGGATCAGTCAGTTTAGTGGATACTGTGTATCCTTTAATAGACAAGGTAACATTTCGTGTTAGTTTAGAATATTGTTTTGTACTGTACTTACTTGGATGGTGAAGGAAAGACAAGTGAAACTTAAAGCTATGTTCTTTAAATTCTGTATTATTAGCAAACTCTGTTGTATATAGTGTTTGATAATAAAGTATTAATTTGATTCTTATGTCTTTTGTAAGTGAGAACAATAGACTTTCAGGATATTAAAATCACACGTTGATTACAAGACAGAGCTTTGAAGCATGAAGTGTGATCATGGCTGAGAACTGAGAGACAAGTGGCCATGACACTGCAGCATACAGGATTCATCTTTGAAAACCGTTCATCTATTGCAAGACTTCACAATGTCAAGACCTGAAACAACATGACTTTTGATAATCAGTGTTTTGTCCTCAGTGTTTAAAGGTCTGATGTTGGAACCCTGTGGTTTCTGTGTTAGTTTCTGTTCTCTTGTATCATGTTTGTTTCTAAAAAGGCTTCGGGGATATAACAACTCTTCTGTTAGTTTGTTTGTTTGTTTATTTTTTATTAGTTTTCCTCCTGTTTTCCTTCTGGTTTTGTTTCCATGAATATTTTTTTTTCCAGAAAGGGATCTTGCCAGTGTCATGTGCGATGTGTGTATGTTCTTGGTTCCAAAAGTACTAGAAACACATTTGGGAGGCACTGAGAGTAGATGAGTAGATTGTTTCCTTTCCTATATAACTGTGGAAGGAAAATGGTTGTATTTATACCTGTTGATTCCCACCCCTAACCCTCAAAACTGAACTTAATCCATTGCCTTGTGAGAGCAATGATTCAGTAAATTTCAGAGGCTTAGAGTGTTAATTCTTCTCCTTTCATTACACTTGGATTTTGTAATCACCAGTTTTAATGTACAACCCTCCACACTTCCCTCTTCCTGTCCTTCCTCCTCTCCCACCCTCCTTTTTTGGAGCTGTGAATGGGCGGATCTGTTTCTGATCTGGCATCACTGAGTTTTTCCCATGCATTCGCCCTCAAGCTTCTCGGATGTGAGACAAATCTCCCTACAATAGGCTTGCTGCCATTGTCTGTACAGTTTAATAGATGCTGGCATGTTGGAGGTTACCCATGAGTCTGCAAAATCCGCTTTCCATGCTTGACACCCCATTGAAGACACTCATTGTGTATGCATCTGGGTATGAAAGTCCAGCTCAGTGTGGTCCTGTGCTTGTACTGCCCTGCTTTGCAGTTTCTTTGCACTTACTCATCGAGTGCTGTTTTTGAAATGCTTACATTATATGAACTTAAAAGAAAATGTTAGAACAAACCCAAACTGCCCCATAAGATCTGTATTTGTATATACACGTGTCCGTACAATTATACTTAAATAAAATTGAAGATTTTCATCATTTTAATCGGTTCTCTTAGGCTACATTTCTGTTCAATGAATTACATCTTTATTCTGGGAGCTGTTTGTACCTACCTTACCTATTTTTGGGCAATGGAAAGCAATGAGGAATATGAGTGGGAAGGTGTGAAGAATGCAGTGGGCACAACTATCTAGAGCTGTAACTACCAACATCCTGGCTAATCTAAAGTCTGGCTGCTCTGCTCTTTTTTTTTTTTTTTTTTTTTTTATGTATTCATAGCTCTTCCAAATACATAGGAGAGTAAGGAACTATGTCAACCAAGTGCTGGTGAATTACATGGTTTTCATCATCACTTTTGCCCTGTTCTGGGCCTCCCAGTCAGTTTTCCTTACTCCCCTGGGTAACAAGTAGTTATATGGTGTAACACTGAGAAATAGAGTAAAACCCAGAGGTGATGCAAACAGGGCAGTTGCACATGGTGCCCCTCTACCCAGGATGCCCTTCAGACTGACAAAGAGATGGGGTTGAAAGTGGCCTTGAAATCTCAGACATGGTTTTCTTTACAAAAGGGAGGAAAATATCTGAGAGCACTGGGAGTCTCATGGATGGGAGAATGTGAGCAAGGGTGACTCCTGAAGGGAAGAGAAGAATGGGGAAGCAAACAACTGGATGATTGTTTCTCCTCCCCCTTCCTTCAACCCCTGACTAGAGACTGATGTAGTGCCTCTAAAAATGCACAGGACTGGATTGAGATTGACTTGTATTTAGGTCTGAAATGGTTTTCTTTGGCAGTGCCTGATTACTATTCATATGATAAGTTTAACCTGAAAGTTTAGGTCATAGAAGGTGGGGGGCACATACCAAAAATTTTAATACATGCATCATGAATTCAAAACTCAGCTGTAATTACACCATATTAGCATTAAACTCACTGAGAGCTTTTTATTACATCTAATTAGTTGACAGGGCAGCAAGTACTAATTACAACTTACTCTAACCATCTTTACAAATGAGAAGTGACAGCTTGGTGAGAGAATTGTGTGTGAGTATTTGATACAAAGAATTGATACACCAGACTTTTTTCCTCCAGAGCTGTGATGTTACAGCCAGGGCAGGGTTATAAGTGACACATGTTCAGTATGTCTTAACATAATAGCCATGTCCAGAAAATATCCTCCAGTCTGACACACTTAATAGTCTTTGCTCAGAAGACATTCTGCTTTTGCTGAGAATGGTATTTGATTTCATTTTTCTGCATTAGTGTGCACAATGAGCCTTTGTGCTCCCTCATCTTTCCTTCTGCAGAATAATTCTGCTCAGAAAGTACCTCCGAGGGCTTTCAAAGCAATATTCAGGCATGCATCATACCACTGTAATATGGTTGTGTGCCAAAAAGTGCTTTATTCATTCAAAACAAAGCGTTTACTTATATAAATTAGAGATGTGGTAACCAACTGAGTTGGTTAAACTTTTTACAAGTTTTAACAATGCAAAATTGAAAAGTGCTTCCTTCCTTATGACTCTTATTTTTGTTACCATTTGCCCTTACTAAGAAGTTTAGTTTAAAGCATTATTGATCTTTGTATTAGAGGCATATCCTAAGGGCCCAGATCAAGACTCAAGTCTTCACTGTAAAGACTGCAGTACAGAGAGAACTTGTACGAGACAACTGCTTAATGTTTGTTTGCTTTCAGCACCATTTTGATTCTTTGCTTTGAATCAAAGCAAGCTGAAATATCACCAATTAAAATTTTTTGCTGAAGTTTTCTCCTAGACCACATAGAAGCTTTTAAAACAAAGTATTTGTTACATGCAAAAATATCCTTCAAAGAAAATTCAAAATGGAAGTGATATTGCAAAAAATGTTGAAGAGCCAAGCAGGTTTTTTGTTGGTTCCCTCCTCCCAGATAAATCTGTTACCTGACTGATACTGTCAGTCATAATTTGGAAGAATTCAAACTACAAGTTATCTTCTGCAGCCACCAGCATCTTGAAACACTCATTTTTCCTATGATGGTTTTTCAAGCAATTTCTCATGTCATTTGGTTACATAAGGAGGAATATAAATACAAGAAATTGCAGGGTGGAAGTTAGATGCATACTTTGAGGGAAAGAGGAGTTGTCTGTTTTGCCTAGAACTTCATGAAAGCATACACTGCATTCAAGATCAAGAGTACAGAGTGATTTCTAGATGCTTATCTTGCTTGTAATGTCTCTGAAGTAAAGGAAGGAAGGTACCTCTATACACAATCTTAAGTGCATTCTTACACACAGCTATCTTTAAGTTCTTATGTTCAAAGCATGCTCTAAGTGCTATTTTGTGGTACATACTGGCCCACATAGAAATATATATTTCTCCATACTAATTTTAACATTTAAACACATTTCTTCATCCACAGACAGAACTGTTGTTGGAAAAAATGAAGTTTCTGTGTGGATGATATTTGTAAAAGTAAGGGTCATCAATAGGATACTGTAGATACAAACATCCATCTGTTCCTTCTATTGCTGAGAACCCACTGTGTCATTTGTTCTCATGTACTGTAACTTGCACTATCTTAAATAAAGGTTCAGCTAATCTCTGACTACCTAGTCCAAGAAGTTTAGGAGGTTTTTTCTTTCCTCCTCTCACTGTCACTTTATCTATTGCAAAACAGTCTAGAATCTGCATGCAACAAAAACAAAGCGTCTTTAGGCCTAAAGTTGCAACCAATGTGATATGATACTGGAGTTCTGATCATTTTATACTTGGGTATTGGGAATAAATGGAATGCTACATTTTGCAAATGGCAAGCTGTGGTCCTGAAGCAACCATCTTTGCCTGAGGAGGGTCAGGAGAATCAGGCCCTTGGATGGGTGTGAATGCTTCAGTGGAAACTTGGCATGCTTACATTGCACTGTGTGTATCCCAATGCTTCTGCTAGCTAGAAGGGGAATTGAGAAGTGGTGGGAAACAAATAGAGAACTCATTCAGTTACAAATGGCTAAGCAGCAGTGGGAAGTATACAGCAAACTTTGAGTTGAGGAAATGACTACTCATGTAAATTAGTAAAAGTCTTGCTTATTTTTTGAAATTCATAAAAACATTAAATAGAAAACCTGAAATGTGTCAGACTGTGTTGTCTAGAAGTGGTTCTCTGGTCAAGCACTATGCTTGTGGAAGTCAGGGAAATATTTATCATTCAATTAGGCCAACGTTGAGCAGTTCTGAAAACCTACTAGCATTTAAAACCATATACCTCACCTTGCAATTCTAAAGCAGGAAAAACTTGAAATCTTGCACTCTGCAATGCTTTTCAAGGCGGTGCCTGCAGCTGTTGCCTGTGGAGATGCTGGCAGCTCAGGCCAGCAGGGACAGGGAAGTGATCGTACCCCTGCACCTTGATTCCTGTATTCAGTTTTGGGCCTCTCACTACAAAACGGACATTGACTCGAGCGTGTCCAGAGAAGGGCAACGAAGCTGGTGCAGGGTCTGGAGCACAGGTCGTATGGGGAGCAGCTGAGGGAACTGGAGGTGTTTAGTCTGGAGAAGAGGAGGCTGAGGGGAGACCTCATCGCCCTCTACAGCTCCCTGAAAGGAGGTTGCAGAGACCTGGGGATGAGTCTCTTTAACCAAGGAACAAGCGATAGGACAAGAGGTAATGGCCTCAAGTTGCACCAGGGAAGGTTTAGACTGGATATTAGGAAGTATTTCTTTCCAGAAGGGGTTGTTAGGCATTGGAATGGGCTGCCCAGGGAGGTGGTGGAGTCCCCATCCCTGGAGGTGTTTAAGAGTTGGGTTGACATAGCACTGAGGGATATGGTGTAGTTGGGAACTGTCAGTGTGAGGTTAATGGTTGGACTAGATGATCTTCAAGGTCTTTTCCAACCTAGATGATTCTGTGATTCTGTGATTCTGAAGAATCAAAAACTTGTGAGAGATCTCCCCGCATTGCTGAGCACGCTGTGCAACACATACTTGAATGGTCATTTTAAAACTTGGTTTTGAGAATAACTTTTTTTGTTGTTGTTTTAGCTTTGCCATCAAAAAGGTCCTGAAGCTGAATCAGGAGTGTAGAGTGCAGATAAACTGACTTTCAGGGGGCAGGATACAGCTACATTTTGATTTACAACAACTGGAAAGAGAAGGATGACTGCTCTGGCTTAAAAAGGACTGAACAACAGCATGGATCATGCACAGTGTTAATGATTAGACATTAAACATGAGACAAAGCCAGATGAACCTATGCAGCAATGCCTATCAGGCTTTGTTCATTAGATTTACTTTATCCTGGTTCTTGTACATACTTACATTATAAAGATCTTGTGTTCCATTTGACACAGAAGTCAAAACAAGTGTGCATATCATCCTTGCTAGTGAATCTGTACCCCTTTTGTGGTTGTTTATTTAATTAGCTAATTTGCATTTATCTGCAGGTAAAAAGAAAGGAAAACCCATGCACACTTCCTGTGCTCTGCTCTCATCAGCCAGATTTCCTCAGAACTCTTGTACTCCAGTTTTTCCATGTGGCTAAATGAAATGCACACAGTATGAATATTTATGCTGTTTTAATGATGAGATATTTGCATCCATGGATAATAAAGGTTTTAACAAGAACAGTTACTGAGATTGGCACAAAACAGTGAGGTGGTTAATATAGCAACCTCTCTGCTCAGGGACTCCATTGAAAGCAGCAGGCAGTGCATATCTCCCTCCCCTTACTCTTCTCTAGCACCAAAATTAGTCTGATGGGACATGCAGATCTTCCTGATAGCTTTGCAGAAAGCAGGTGTTTTATCTGTGCTTTGCATTACAGCCACTTCTTAACATGCTTCATATGAGGAAGCTCATGGTTTTTGACTAAAAAAGGACCTTCAACTTTTGAACACTGTATTTATTTCAGATACTCTCCAGCAGTGTTTGCATTTGAATCTGAAGCTGCCACTTCACTTCGCCTGTTCGTGAGCAACTGACTGGCAAGTGTTTACAAGATATGGAGATTTGGGGGATGTAAGTCAAAGCAGTACACTTTTCATGAGCTGAGGCAGGAAAGGGCAATCTCCAC